TGCAAATGTTAAATTAAGAAAGTTGGCAGGAAAAAAAATCTGTCTTGCTGTCTGACAATCCCCCAGATATTATGTGGTGTGAGTTGCAACACACTTTATTCAGAAAACGGACAGCTGTTTTTGGATATGTTTAATTGGAAAACAAAAGGCTCTTGTTCAGATGCCTTTGTGTATTTTAAAATAAATCTGAACTTTAAAATATGAATCTTTCATACATTTCCCTTAAGACATCTCTTTTTGGGATTTTTTTTACTAGCAGTAAGTAGGAACCCAGTTGCTAGTTGATTGGTGGATCACTTTCCGGAGGTAATAATTTCTTCAAAAAAATAATAGGTTTCCTTACCCCATGCATTTTATACGGCGCCTTATCAACTCTTCAAGACGTCTCAAAGCGTTTCACAGAATATACTGTAAAGTGAATTATACCTTATCTAGTCATTATTCCTAGCTCATTGCTTTAAACATTGGGATTATCCACACTTCTCTCTTCCAAACTGCTTTAGACACAGCATCTTATAACACAGCAAGCAGAACATTATAATACATCCAAGTATGTACACTCTTGGCCAGAGCATTGGATGGCTTCAGTGTGAGCACTGGAACTTTGAACTCGGCTGATTTGGCAATGTAATCCAGTACCCTGTTCCCCTTGCTGTTACCGCCCGCTGTTTAAGTGTAGATTTTACTACCTGCCTCTGAGTTATGAAAAAGTAAAAGATTCTTAACACCTGAAATGGACACCTGTTTAATAGCCAGTGGCAATAATGATTTTGATCTACATATGTTTCACACTACTGACCATAATGGTGGCTTCCATGGATAGCCATGATGCCTGTGTAAATATGCTGCTCAAATCAGCAGTCAAGGGAGTCTGAGCCAGTGAATGATTGCCACATCAAATGTCCATCGCTCCTTCCGAGAGGGCTCTGTGTCCCGCAAACAGAAAGTAATGCTGCAATTGAGAATTAGAGTAAGTATTCACACAGGCGAGAAGTGGGAATGGAGGTGTTAACATCTGACAACCATGTCACTCTTTCATCCCTCATCTTTATAATAGTTAACGTGCAGGGCTAATATATTTTTTGTATTTCAAATGGGCTTATTGCTGGTGTGAGCATGCACTAAAGCAGGGGTGCATTTAATTCAGCTCAGTGGCTATTTCCAGCCACTTTCTTGCACTTGTTGTCTTTGTCAGACCTGCTGCTCCACATAAATCTTGACTGTGTTCGCGGCCAGCCTAGGATCACTATACTGGGATTCAGCGTTCTATTGCTCTTACTCAGGTTAGCCACATGCTGTTCAAAGGCGTCATTGAAATCAGGAACTCATTGTGTGTTGAGTGAAACGTGTAGAACTTCTCTCATTTCTGTTACAAGGTGTTAACCATTTCCTGAGAGCGGGTAAAGCAAGGTATTGGTTGGGATGATGGCTTTTCACAAAGTATTAGTGAAAAACGCTGCATAGATGTCTGCAGTAAAATGGCATGAAGTTTGACAATGTGACCAGGTGCTGAATCAAAAATCGATTCAATGAGGATTATTAATTATTATGGTTGGAGATATGGATGGGAGTAAATTGAGGTGATGAATTGGATATCAACCAACATGAAATTATATTAACTAAATTGTCGTTCTTTTATGCTAAATGTAATCTAGTTGCCTTGGTCGAATGTTGGCTCAAGTGAACAGAAACATTTGAATAGAAAAGGCACAGAGAACAATAGAAAACAAAAGCAAGCCTAGGTGTGATCCTTCATCTGAACTCTGCCGATAATACTAATTACATACCGTGCCTTTTACATTAGGAAAATGTCTCAAAGTGCCTCACAGGATATACTGTAAAGTGTAATGACTGTATTTTGTGGGTAAACATGGCAGGAATGTCCCACAACCCGCATGAAGTGAATCAATTCTATTTGGGAAAGCAGCGAGAAAGCTTAGCAGACGGTGCTCTCGGTGCTCCTGCTTACCTAATTCTGGAGAGTGTTAGGTGCGAGTTGGCAAGATTGTGTCCCTCCACAGAGAGAGAGAGAGGGAGCATTCCAACAACTATCTCTGGGATTTCCACGTGTAAGTGGGATACATGGAATTCTTAATTTAGGTTGGATACTCTTAAGCATGGTGGTGGGTTCCCACGTGTGTCTGACATCTGGCTGAAAAAAAATTCTGTTTGGGGCATTGACCAATGGGACGGGCAGCGTTATTGGCCAATTTCAAGAATTGGAGGAACAAGTTCAGTTCTCCCTTCGAGTGCTACTGAATTGTACACAGCTCAGTTGAGCAAATGAGTGATTCAGTCTGTTGGAACTTTTGGTCTCTGGAATCTGGCTTCATATCTCGCTGAGGCTACTGAGCTTTCTGTGTCTTAAAAGGGTTCCGTGTGACACAAGGTTGGACTTTGAGCTCCATCTCCAACGCAAATGTAAAACTGCTCCAAAACTGCTAAGTTTAAAATAAGTCATCCATCATATTTAAATCCTGATCGCTAATCCTGATCTAGGAGTATGCACTGTAATCCTGATCTAGGAGTATGCACTGTACAAGCATTCATTAATACCCATAGTGTCTGACTCTTTAACACCATTTTAACAAATATTTTAACTAAAGCATTCCAACAGCTGTTGCTGCTGCCCATACTCTCAATGTTCCTTGCTTCCCTCCAACCACTGAATAGTGGTTTCTGAAGCATAGACCCATGTAGGTGGACTGATTATATATGTGCCGAATTAACACGCTTGAGATTATTTGGGTTTGAAAGTGACCGAATAAATGTTCAATACTGTTTTAGCTGGAGATAAGGGTTCTCATGGGAAGGGAATGCCTTTCCTTCCCATTCTGTGGTCCTCTTGTACCTCATGCCACCTCTCACTTTGATGGCAGTTAAGCCCTGGGTCTCTAGTTATATGTGCTACAAGGTTAATTTGTGGTCTGCAGGGCATGTCCTCATTTCTTTTTCCCTGTAACTAGTGCCAGACCTCTTGATCATTGCCTGCTCACTGTAACTTGTCTAGTCACTGAGAGAATACAGTTGTCAAACTGGCCACTTGAGCTTTAAAAGCTCACCAGATCCTTTGAGTTAACAGTGACTCGATTTCTGTCACTCTGACTGCAGATATCCAACAGAACCAAGCAGTCTGTGTTAAAATTGGCTTGTTACAATTCTAAAGCATCAGTATCCGAGGTAGGCACGAAAAAGCATGTGTTAGTGAATAGGCACTACATGAAGTTTTGCACTTTGTTATTTCTATGAATATCGGTGACACTACACTGTCTTAAGTTTTAATATAAATTAGAATTTAAAGGCACTTGTTAGCTTCTAGATTGCTTCTGTAGATTGCTAAATTCAGAAGTTACGAGTCTGCAAATGTTAAATTAAGAAAGTTGGCAGGAAAAAAAATCTGTCTTGCTGTCTGACAATCCCCCAGATCATGGCTGTTTGTGGGATGTTGCTACGCGCAAATTGGTTGCCTTGTTCACCAACAAAATACAGTCATTACACTTTATAGTAATATTCTTTGAAGCACTTTGAGACCTCTTTGATGAAATAAGGTATTACATCAAATGTAAGGATTACTATGAGAGCAATACAATTGATCGGGTTCTGGATTGAGACTGTATGTAGTAAAAGCCTATTGATTACAGTAATGAATTAAATATCAAGAGTTGCATTATTTGTTCCCATTAAAGGCTTACTACACAAAGTTTCTTTACTTGAAAAGGGATGTAGTTGAGATTCATAAGAGATGTCATCTGCTTGTAAGTTTTGTGCACGCATCAGTTTAATTACAGTTCCTGAAAAACTTTGCAAAATTGTATCTTCAAGTCTTAACATAAAAACAGGGTCAGACTGTTTTCAGGGAACGAAAGAGATACAATTAATTTCACCCTGAGTAGGCGAATAATTCCTGGATTATTTTACGAGCCATGTCCTAATCAAATAAATCATTTACTTAATTTAATTACAGTTCTCCCTCTACCAAAAACAATCTGATTAATTGGCTGCTGGTCTCATTGTCTGCACGGGACATCACTGGCATTAATTAGCTGCTGTGTTTGCCTTGACAACAGCATTCATTTCATTTTTAATCTCATTTGTGAGCCCTCAAAATTGGTTCACTGACAGCCCATGCAAGTTGCTGTCAGTTTGATGTAGGGTTTATGTTCTCTTTGGGGAGACCATAAAGCGAAAGGAGCCCGGGCTGTTTTGAGGGTGAACTCTCTGGACATGTAGTTTACAGTATAAGGATCAATCCAACTGTCATGGTCTTGACACTCACTGCCGGGAGTTCATTAGATCCGGACACACGGCCCCGCATGACTTCATTCAATCACTTCCCGCATGCATTGTTTCAGTAAAGTGCGGTCACACAGGTATCAGACTGATTCAATTAAAGTGGATCTCTTTTTCCTACAGGTGGAACTATACATTTTTTTTAAAAAAAATCAATTTCCCATTAGATGGGATGACTGCTGTCATTCGGATAGAAAGTTCCGCAATATTAGTTATTTTCTCTTTCAGAATCCTGCCATTTTGGGGGTGGAGGGGGAGATGATAATTCGCATTCAGTCAATTGCGTAGCTTTGTCACCAAGAAAAGGCCTATGGAATGCCCTTGTCAAAGTTTGATTTTGGCTGAAAGTTAGGGATTACGAGGGCAAGTGAAAAGCAACAATCTTACAACAAATAATAAGCACTGCCTTTGATCCAACCCCTATATTGTTAACGTCTCAATGTGCTTCACAGTTTCACTGTAAAGAGTCGCGACTGTATTTGAAGCTAAACACGGACAATTTGCACACAGCAGTTACGATTACAGTCATGAAGGTGAATGACAATTTTATCTGGTGGATTGTCAGGCAAACACCATGGAGGGATACTACACGCCCTTCTCTTTTCAGATAGTGCCATAGTATCTTTAACGTCAACTCTGAATTATGAAACCCTAAGATGAAACGTTTTTGTTACATTGCTTTTTCTGTTGCCTTTAGATGTGGAAACGTCAACTTTGCAAGAAGAACGAACTGCAACAGGTGTGGAAAAGGTATGCTGCGAGGTACTGCAACAGGCGTAAAGGCGGTTCAGTGGCTGTTGCTCATGGGTTCAAATAAAATCGTTCCTTTTTATCCAGTTTTAAAGATTTGTTAATAATTTATGTTCTAGTATGGAGAGACAACTTAAGGTGTATTCTGACTTGCCTGGTGTAACTCACAAGTATTGACTACATTGTAGAACTCGGCAATGAGTTATAGCTCCAGTAATCATTTTACCGCGAACTTTTCAGAGAGAACGTGTGAAGCGAAGCTGATGAAGGCAGGAGGAACGGAAATCGGAAAGACTCTCGCTGAAAAAAGCCGTGGCCTTTTCAGCGCCAACGATTGGCAGTGCAAAACGTAAGCTTACGTCTGGTTTGGAAGTCAGAGCATTGAAGTGCGTGTTTGCATTTTAAGCAGGTGTAAAGGTTGAAAGAACTGCTTCAGCTGAGCGCTTCATTAACTAGCGATTGGGCCTTCAGCCTCCTGCCCCCACCCTTTGCAACTCCATCCCACAGTCCCTTTGTCTCACTTCCTCCCTTGCCTCCTTCAAGGCACGTCTCAAGACCCTCCTCTTCGACCGCATCTTCTGTCACCCTCCTATGCCTGCACTCCTCCCCACTGATCCCAACCCCCAGTTCGGGTCCAAACCTGACTGTACAGCGCCTTGGGACATCCTCCCGATGTGAAAGCTGCTGTGTCAATGTAATTTGTTGTTGAGTTTGAGTAAGGAAGCAATTGCAGCTATTAGACTTGTGCGAGTAAGCAATCTGTTCACTTGGGGAAGGAAAAGTTATTTGCGAATAGAGTTACATATCTTGACTCGTGTTGCTTCAGTAATCATTTCAACTAGGCGGTGATCTGGAGGTTTTGTCCATACTAAGACATGGCTTGAGACACTAATCATTTCCCATTCTGCTTGGTTCCTAGCTGTGGAAATGTGAATTGGGCAAGGAGATCGGAGTGTAACATGTGCAACACCCCAAAGTATGCCAAGCTAGAGGAAAGGACGGGTAAGATGACACATTTTAATGTACGATATGGGTTGATGTGGTCAAAGAGGAAGGTGTTGAGACGAACCTTAAAGGAGGCGAGGCTCTCCTCCGTGGTGGAGTTCCAGAGAGCAGGGACAGGGCGTGAAGCAGGCTGGTGCTCACTGAACAGAGGGAGAGGGCGGGTTGATAGAGTTTAAAAGATCGCAGAAGTAAAGTGGACCAAGACCCTGGAGGGATTTTAAAATGATGATTAGGATCCTGAAACTATGTTTACCATAGTGAGTACAGTGAAATTTAATTAAAGACTGACTACTGAATGGAAATTAAAGGCAGTAATCTAACAGTAGCAATTTATCATTTGTGAACACTCCATATTATGGACTGAATTCTTGCTTCGTAATTGGCACAGTCACTCACACAATAGGAATTTTAAAGATTACCCATAGGATTTGTATACTTCATGTACTATTGAAATTTGTTCTCTTTCTCCCCACTCACCCAAATATTTTTTTAACTCTTTGCCAGTTAAAATATTGACCTCTTTTAGCTTTGCTTTCGATTAGAATGTGTCTGTGACCAGTCCACGTGTTTGGTTTGACAGGATACGGTGGTGGGTTTAATGAAAGAGAAAATGTTGAGTACATCGAGCGTGAAGAATCTGATGACGAGTACGATGAGGTAAGATTTTATTGGCCCTCTCCCAACTTCGCCCCTCCGATTTTATAGTTAAAGTAATGAAACACTGAAGTGCTGCTGTTGCTGCTTCCACAGGGGGAGAAAAAGAGGTTTTTATGTCTACCGCTTGGGAAAGAATTTCTCCTATTAGAGGAGGTGTTTATAATTGTAATTATAACAGCGGAGAGCTGGATTGTGGATAGAGAAACATTGCGGATAATGGGTTATCAAGTACAATACAAATTAGTTTCAGTGCCAGCCAAAACAGTCTTCCATATTGTGCACAGCCACATGTTTTGGCCATGTTATATTGTGGCGGGACTGTGGGGGTGCACGTTCTCTACATACCTATGTGGCACACAGGAAGTGAGGCTGTGACTGAGATGGTCTATAATTCTATTATATTGGTTGGTCGTCTCTCCATTCAAATGAAGTAAATGAGGCCAAATGAATTGATTAATTACCAGGTTTCTGTTGTTGCAGTAAAACAACAGCTTGCATTTAGACCCCGGGCAGTGTGTTGGAGCACTTAACAGTGGCCGGGAGGTGGGGGGAGGAGGAGGTGACCCCAAGCACGGTCAAAGAGGAAGGTATTCAGTTGTCATCTAAAAGGGGAAGGAGCGAGCATTGGGGGAGAGAGTTCCAAAGTTGTGGCTGAACAACTGCCGATTGTGGAGCAGAGGGGACAAGGGACAAACAATCAGGAGCAGCAGCAGGGATGCTTTTTCATTCAATGTAGCTCTGAAACCATTGTGTGTGCAAAAATCGGTTTTGAAAGTGCCGTTTCTTCGATCATAGTTTGGACGAAAAAAGAAGAAATTCCGCGGGAAGCCTGCGGCCCCCAAAACCATCCCGCAAGAAGAAGTGGAAGAAAGCGAAAAGGACGAGGAGGAAGATGATGAAGAAGATGGTGATCTCTCCAAATACAAGCTAGATGATGTAAGAGCTGGCTTGTGCTTCTAAGCTGTTGGCAGTGACAGTGCCTTTTGTGGCAGTGTTTTTTTTAATAACAATCCTTACATTCAATGCAGCACCTTTCATGTGGGAAGGAGCCCTCAAGCACTTCACAAGATTTACTGCAAAGTGTAGTGACTGCATTTTGCCTTGTGGTTGTGCACACCAATGTCCCACAAATAGCCATAGAGCAAGTGACCAATTTTATTTGGGAGATTGTTGGCCAGAATCCTGGAAGAGAGAAACGGCCTTCCCCATCTCTTTTCGAATAGTACCATGAGATGGTGGGGAGGGGAGAGAGGAGAACACTCTGTATGTGGCTTCTGTTTCAAATCCGGTGTGCTCTTTTCTCGCCACTCTAGGATGATGATGATGATGATGAAGACGGCGATCTCTCGAAGTACAACCTGGACGCGAGTGAGGATGAAAAGAAGCCTCCTAAAAGCAGGAGTAGCTCCAAGTCTCGCTCCTCTCGATCTTCATCCTCTTCCACCGCTCATTCCAGTTCAAGGTCCAGGTAAACGGGTACAGGTCAAGGGTGACACCGGGCAAAATGTCAGTATCAGTTTTAACTTCTTTCTTTTAAATGTTTGTTCATGTGACATAAAGTTTTTTAAACGCTTGCATTACACTACCTTACTTTGTGTTAGAAGAGATGACTTTTCCAATTGTACCTGTTAGTTTATTTATTTTGAGATATATAAAAAACTTTTGCATTAAATGTGTTTATAATTGTGTACCCAGCCAGGAATGAGGGCTTTTAATAATATTAATAAGATTTTAAATGCTTATAGCTTGGTATTTATTTGTTCTAAAGCTTCAAAGTGCAGAGAACAGCTTTTGTGACTTTCAGAGAAAGTTATGTGAAGCAACGTAACCAGTGTTTTTCATTTACATTGATTTATTAAAATAGCAAAGGTTCTGGAAAAAAAACTTAAAGCTGTTATAATAATCCTTGCATTTGATATAGCGCCTTATCACGTCGTCGAGACGTCTCAAAGTGCTTCACAGAGTATACTGTAAAGTGCAGTGACTGTATATTTTTCAGGCAAAACAAAATTCTGGTGAAGCTAGTCCTAAACTTAACGAGTCATGGACTTGTTTCACGAAATGCTCACTGAGTTTGACTGTACAAATGTAAAACTAAAACTGGTGATAAAGTGGAATCTTTTTTTTACAAAAATGAGTAGCGTTTATTTGAAATGTTTAATGCACTGCCGAGAATCCATTTTGTACCCATAGGGCTGGAGAAAAGAAATGGGTCTTTTGTAGAGAATGGGGAGCATAGACATTACAACACAGGAGGTCCATCGACTCTCTGCTGGAGCACTCTATTCTACTACTCTTTGCCCATCGTGTCAAATGGTGCTAGCTCCTCTGCTAGAGCACTCGTTCAATTTCCCTACTCCCTTCCCCCATGTCTCTGTGCTGGCGCTCGCTCCCCCACTGGAGTTCCATACTCTATTCCATCCTCTGCTCTGTCCCCAATCTGTCTGTGCTGGTGCTCACTCCCCCACTGGAGCTCTCTAATCCCATTCCGCTGTACTTTCCCCATCATTTCTGATGATGCAAGCTTCTCTGCTCTCAAACCCATTTGCCTGCTGTTTCCCCATTGTGTGTCCAGCAATGTTAGCTCCTCCAATGGAGCTTTCTAACCCCATTCCCCTGCTTTTGCACCCCCAACATGTATATGGCTTCTCTATTGGAGCTCTGTCCTTGAATCCTAACTTTTTAATTGTTGATGTGGTCTCCACCTTAGCAGCCACTTGTGACCAAGTGTTCCATGTTAATAGCCCTCTGTATGGAACATTTGTCTTTTCAACCTGTTCATTGACTCCAGCAATGAGCCTAAGCTTGTGGCACCTTTTTGTCCACTTGTTACTGAGAAGAGAGGGAGAAAGTGTGTAATGCATTGCACTGAAACCTTTTCATTCAGAAACACCCTATTTAGAACTCCAACCAACAGGTGTTCGTAAGCGTGTTGTCGGTGTGTTTAGATACCTGATCTCTGTAGCATGTATTAAAGGGATAACTGCAGAAACATAAACTTCTTATTGTTATCCTTGGAGATATTTTTTTCCTCCTTTTGAGAAATTAATAGTTTGATCTTGAGTCGATCTTACAACAACTTACACCCTTCATGCAGGGAGCCTCTAGGAGTGCTTAACAGTGGTGGAGCCTGACACTGAACTCGGGAGAGGGGGAAGTGAGCTTAAGATTAGTCGAAGAGGAAGGTTGTCGGGTGTGATATGCCAATGGGGAAGGAAGGGGCAAGGTGGAGGGAGAGAGTTCCAAATTTTCAGGGTGTAGAGGCTGAAAGCACGGCCACTGATGGTGGAGGGGATGAGTAGCCAGCCTTGCAGAGGTGACAGGGAGTGGGGAGTAAGTAGGTCGGAGAGGTAGGAGATGCTGGGGTGTGAAGGGATTTGTAGACAAGTGTGAGGATCTTGAAGTTGATTCGTTCTGTGATAGGGAGCCAGTGCAGCCTAGGGAGGACTGGTATGATGGGGTAAGGAGTTTAGAGTATGGAGGTGGGGAGGTGGAATTTGTAAGTAGTGGAGCTGGGGAGACTGGTGAGGACTGCATTAAAATAGCTGATGTGGGACTCGATGCATCCACTTTCTGTAAAAGTGATGGTGAGGAATGAAACAACACAAATTTCGAACAACGTTTATATATTTCTTTAAATCTTTATGCAGCTCTTAGAGTCTACAATGTAGTTTGTCTTGAGAGCTTCACAGGCTCGCTTGGCTTGGTGATTTACCTTTTAGCAATAACTCCTGCTGGGTGTGCAACAGACTCCTATTGTATCTAACCAACAGATCTATTGGTCGCAACATTCATTCCTAAGAAATGGATTTTGTTAGACGATTTTCTGCAGTCCGGGTGTCGATTCTAAAAGGTGTAGTGATTACAGTAGCTTCTTTAGTCATCACGCTGATTTTTTTGTGTTGATGTGCAGAGTCTCCAGGGATCCAGCAGTTTAACCTGGGTTACTTTTCAAGCAGATAATTGTTCTCTTTCTTGGGTTGGGATGGAGTGGGGGCAGGAATACAGCAAGAGAGAAAGAGCGAGGGGAAGTTGATGATTGTGGGCCAGGGAGTACTTCCTTTGAACGTATTTCTGATGGATGTACTTGTGCCGTTCGTGTTGCAAACGTAGTGTTGGAAAATGTTTGCCATTTTATTGCAGATCGCAGACCAGAAGTTCCACCACTTCCCGATCCCGGTCGAGATCCAGCTCTAGAGGCCAATCTAGATCACCCCAGTCAAAGTCCAGGTGAATGGGGTAACATTCTCTCCTCCTTGGAGAGTCGCCGAAATAAATATTCTTAGCGCAAGGACAGTAAAATCTCCTCTCTCTCTATCTCTTTTTGCTGAGAGATTCGGGAACATTGCCGTTGTTAACTGTTGGAAGCGATTTGTATTAAAACGCACAAGGTTTCAATGGCTTATCCTCCAGCCCTTTTGCAGTGCATGTTTATCAGTATTACACTTTACAGTATATTCTGCGAAGAGCTTTGAGATGTCTTGAAGACATGATAATGCGTGATAGTGTGATAAGACGATATCAAATGCAAGTATTACTATTATTATAATGCCTATACAACTCTATGCTGATAGAGAAACCAGCCTTCCCAAAGGTTTGCGGTTTGCGTTGCTGGGCACGTTTCGAGGAATGCACTTCTCTGGGGCTGTCAAGCAAATTGGCTGATCTGGTTAATTTTCTTAGTAAACTGAAAGGACTTTTCTTTGAACTGAAACCAGTTAAGGAAAAGTAGTTTCCTCACACGGAAGCACAGTCTGTAAGTCGCAACATATATATTATACATATATTTTGCATTATACATGTATATTCAACGCATTGAGATCATGTAGAATCTGAGATGGAGGTTAAAAGACTTTATTTTAAAACGCTTTAATGTACAATATTATTTTTACAATGCTTTGCAAGGGCTTCTGACCTGAATGTGATCTAGAACTTTACTGATTATTAATATTTCTTGTGCACAATACAATGCAAAATTTATTTGTATAGCGCCTTTTACATCAGGAGGACGTCCCAAGGCACTGGACAGTCAGGGATTTGGAACCGAGCTGTCGATTGGGATAAGGGAGGGTGGAGGGCAAGGGAAGTATGGAATAGGAGGGTGGCTGAAGGCGGAAAAGTTTGAAATTGACGTGCCTTACAGGAGACAGGGAGGGAGTGAGGCAAAGGGACTGTGGGATGGAGTTCTAAACAGTGGGGGCAGAGAGGCTGAAGGCCTTGCTGAAGACTGCAAAAAACCTGGGCCCAAATTTCCACTTTTTAAAAAAAAATAAAACCTTTTTACCTTCATTTCAGATTGTGCATGATTTTTGATGCATTGAAATTAATTTGTGACTTTGAAGCTGGTTCGACCACAGATCTTGTTGAGAACTACAGGAAGCCCTGTGCTTTCATGTTGAGAAAGAATTTGCTGAAATTTGTCCAACCTGATATTTTAAGAGAAGGGTTTTCAGCCTAAAACCAATGGAGTTTTGAGGCCAGATGCGGTCTTCTGTCGACTACTTAACTATGGATCTGGAGTATTGTGAACCAGTGTGTTTTATTTAATGCTATATGTTGAACAGTAAAGACCGATTTGAATGGCAAGTCCCCCAAGTGTTGGCTTTAGACCCAGTCTGTTCTTCAACTTCACATGGTTAACACCCACCTGCTTCAAAACCAACCTAGTGCAGACCTACAGAACTACCTGTTGGTTCGACCTTTGGGAAACGCAGCTATGATGTGGTTGGTGAGCATTTTGTGCCACAGAAATGCAGTAATCTGTCATGTATTGGCTGCTGAGGCCTCCTATGTACTTTTAAGCAAAACACAATATCTTCTTCAGGGACTTTCATGCAACTTCAGTCCTTTAGCCACTGGTTATGCGCTCGGTGAAAGGAATGTGTGGGAAGCCCATTGTTGAGGTCACTACTGACTTGGTAATGAGCTTCAAACAGCTCTGGTCATTACTGCTGACCTGACGCCCACTCGCTTGTCTGGTCTCAGCAAAGCCAGACAACCTGCCAGCAGGTTCAACAGCTGGCAGCTGGTCCGCCTCCCCTAATCTCCTTACGCTGAAGCAACAATATAAAAGCTTTACACAGAGTGACCGAAATGTCGAGATACCATTACAATGGCTTATAAGTCTTTTAAAGAGATGGTGATTTTTTTTAGATAATAGGGTCACCTTGTGTGTGTGTATATATATATATTTTTTAAAAAGACAGCAACTGAATCTAGGGTAAAACTAACTCAAGCACTAATGCCACCCACACAGTCTGGCTTACAGTACAGTAGGCGACAAGATCCTTTGCATCTAGGGCTGCCAACCACTTTATACTGACTATAATGCTAAAGCTTACAATACAACCAGTGCTGCCTGCTCCAATGGCCTCCACAATCCTCCTTCCTTCCTTTGAAGCACCATTATCTATGATTACATGCGGTAGCAAGATTATGAGTTAGGAACTGATAACTAAGGTATCAAGGTAAGTAACCCCGCGTAAACAAACTGGAATGACGAGGACGAGTTATTGAAATGTCCAAGTGTTAACAATTCCCGACCTTAACCTGAGAATATTAAGCATTTTGATTTGGGTGAAGAAATTTAACCAGGTACAGTATCGAGTTTTGGAAAGCGAAGGCAATGGGCGTTGTGTTTTGACTAACCACTGGAGGGCCCTGTTGTATGTGATCCCACTGCAGACCAGGCAACGCCCGTAGCCAGAGGTCACTGGTTGTTGAGCACTTTTAAGCAAAACATAACATCTGCTTCAGAGACCTTCAAGCATCTTCAGACTTTTCTTTACCCACTGGTTGTGTACTCAGTGAGAGGAACGTGTGGGAAGCCCACTGTCGAGGTCACTACTGGCTTGGTAATGAGCCGGAATCATTGCCGCTGACCAGACTCCCACTGGTTTGTCTGTCTCATCATGGGAGCAGTGGCGCTTCTCCATCCAAGAAGCCTAGACGATCAAACGCAGTGTGTTGGTGATCCCCTGCCCTGAGATCCATGTCCAACCGTGGACGACCCAAAACTTTTTGTACGTTGCAACTCACAGTTTGGACATATGCACAAGCGAAATAACAACACAAAGGATTTCTCTCAGTCGCGAATGTTTCTCTCTTGTGTCCCATTTCGTCCACTCACCCCACAACCAAAAAAAAAAGCAGAACAAAAGGCTGTGGAAGTTCTGTGTCTGTGGGGAAAGCAGTGTGAAGTGGTGGCTTGTGTGTAAGTGAGAGATTTCCTGCTGTGTGTGTGTGGTTTGTGATGTCGTCCTGTGTGTGTAAGTGAGACAGCATTGCATGGAAAGGCATAGCTTTGTACTATTGTCTGAACGAATATGAGTGTGTGTGAGCGAGAGAGGCGGCACATATCTAACTGTCTCCTAATCGATCAAAATCCAGCTCCAGATCACGCCGGGGGTCCTCGTCGCCGCGGAAGAGGTCCCGCTCCACCTCCCAGTCGTCATCCTCTTCGGAGAGGGGCAAAAAGCGAAGCCGGTCTCGATCCTCCTCCTCCGGCGGCCGCAAAAAAACTAGACGCTCTGACTCAAGATCTCGGTCTGCAGAAAGGTTTGGGCTTCTGTAGAATAAGCAAAAAAAGGAGTAATCGAATTTAACGGAGCTGAGATCGATAGTCCCCCTCTCTAACCACCCCCCTTCCCTCCCCCAAAAAACAGATGCATCCCACTTAAATTTTTGTCGGATATGCTTGTCCCATTCCGCCCCCCCCCCCCCCACTCCTCGCTCCACCCTTCTCGATGGGCTTTGTATTGTATCTGTGTGTAATGTACTTCTGCGTCTTAGCTTTCAAATGTTTTTTTATGTATAAAACAAAAAAGGAGCTGTGATTTGAACGGTTTCGAGCGATGCTGCTCTCGCTCTCCCGCTGTCAAAGAGTTTCCCGGGTTTTGCATCCCTTGTTGGTTTCTTCTCTCTTTCAGACGCAGCGGCTCATCCTCTGGATCGTCTCACTCGGGCTCCCGGTCATCAAGCTCTAAACAGAAATAAACGTTTAACACGTACCCCTCGCCACCCACCCACCCTTGCCGTTTTTAAGCAAATCAAATACTTTCTGCCTGATTGAGAGGGAAGTGAATGAAGGAGAGGGACGAGAGTGGAGTGGGGGGTGAGGAGGAGGAGAGGGAGAGGGGACGGGGGGAAGAGTGAAGGGGAGGGAGAGGGGGGAAGGAAAGGGAGGTAGGGAGTGAAGGGAGAGGGAGCGCCTTGGGATGTCCTCCCGACGTGAAAGGCGCTATACAATTTTTTTTTTGTGTTTGTAAGAAAGAGAGAGAGGGAGGGAACGAAGAAGAAGAGGGAGGAAAAGGAGAGGGGTGAGAGAAAAAAAAGTGCATGAAACTTATTTTAAAGAAGTTATGAATGACTTGAGCCAAATTCATCTGTGTTATGAAAATTTAAAAGGGTTTTAAAACTATGGTGTGGGTGTGAACCGTGGGGAGAGGAAAGAAACATATACTCGCGCGCGCGCACACACACACACACGCGCGCGTATACGTCCTGGTGAAATATTGCTGGTGTGATCTTATAAAAGACCCTTTTATCGTTGCTTTTCCATACAATGTGGCCGCCTTCTGTCCCCAGTTTGTTAGACTTTATTGCCCTGTGTGCCTGCTCATCATATAGCGGTGTCTTAAGCCATAAAAGTTTCCTTAGTATTTTTTTCGTTGTAGAATGATGCTTGACAACTATTTTTTTCTGTTATTTCCTTTAGAGAAATAAGTGTGTTTTTTTTTTGGGGGGGGAAGAGAGCTTAAAGGAACCGTGTGTTCCTGTAAAGGCAAGTTTCCTTCCCCTGTTTGGGGAACGTCTGATTTCAGAGAATGGTGAAGTGGCCAAATTGAAACTGCTTTAGGGACGATGGGGGAGAGAGGAAACACAAATGTCTTTCTCCCTATTTCCCCCCCCCCCCTCCCCCCCCCCCCCCCCCCCCCCCCCCCCCCGGGTTGAGATCTAGTAGTAACACTTTGAGTTACAGCGCAGAATTTTGCAAATATTCTTAAAAATTGAGACGGGTTTGAATTTGTAATCCCCCCGCAGTCCAAATTCACACTGAATTTCAGAATTCTCTGCAATTTTCTGGGCAATTTTGTTAAGTGAAGGTTATTTGCAAGTTTCCCCAGTGCCTAGAGTTTTAAAGTGCCTCTTAAAGACATTTGCCCACCCCTGCCTCATTTCATAGCCTTTTAGTGGAGAACGAGAGAGAGACCAATACGTGCAAACTGCAGTAGCCATTAAGTTTGAGGGATTTGATTCAATTTGAAGATTGAAAAGCAATGTAGACTGAGTTTAAATCAAGAGAAAGAAACTTTTTAAAAATGTTTTTTAATTGTTTAAAAATATACTGATTGTGTAGAGAGGGCTGTGTACTGATGATTGCCTTTTGTTTCTGGGATGTCGCAGTGAGGGGAGTAATTTTTACACCCAGTTTCTCTGGGATACATTTCAACATTGGATGTCAACAGCTTTTGGGGGGGTTGGGGGAGACAGATCTCACTGCCAGGGTTTGGTAAGCGGTTTTAGCCTGTTAGACTCCAGCAGTTACCTTAACGTACTGCGGAGTCCCCAAATCTGGGCTCTTGCCAACCTGCGCCGTCCCTGTAAGGAAAGAGAGAGAGTGCGCATTCCATTCCAACAATCTACCTGGGATTTCCGGCTGTAGATTCGGTTTGGATACTCTTGATGATAAGCATGATGATGGGTTTCCGCATGTGTCAGACTCTTCTCACCCGCACCCCGCCCCCACACAATTTTTTTTAGATCAACTTTTATGATGTGATGCATTAAAAAAAATTATTATTGCTATCTCATAAATAACATTGATTTTTGCCCTCACTGAACTATTATGGCTTAATCTACCTCTTTTGACCGCGGAATCTTGCTTTAGGAGATAAGATGTCAATTATGGCAGAAGGTTTTCTGAGTTCAAAGCGGGGGAAAAAAAGAGTGCTTTTTCTTGTGTTTAAGTAAAGACGGTAAGTATCTTTATGGAGATGCACAATATTATTGGGGGAGTGGAGAAGAGGAAGTTGGGGGCAGAATTGGGGGGAGGGGGGGAGATACTGTACAGCACACAGTACATAAGAATTGCTAGGTGAAAGAAGATCACGTTTCGCCTTCACCATCCTGACAGCCACATGTCCTGTCCCAAACTACACTGTATCCCATAAGAACATATGAATTTGCTGGGTGAAAGAAGACCAAAGTCCATCCATATAATTTCTACTCTCTGGCCTACACGTTCCGAGCACTTGCAAGCGAGAGAGTAGAATATTTCTCTCAAAAGGTTTGCTAATTTTTGTTTGGTTATGATTGGGCAGTGCACAAAGTTTAGAGACCATTTTGTTTCAGAACGTACACCTTATCGTGTGAGTGCGGCATCTTAAGACTGACATTTTTAATCTTTTTGTTGACACCTTCTTTCAGAATCGAACTGTCTGCACATCTTGTTATCCGTTTGTAGTTCGTGCAGATGAACTTGAGAAGCGGGTGGCTGATATCTTTTGCATTGTTTGTTTTTTGGAAATTCAGGCTGTTTTGGTAAATCTTTGGAAGATTTGAATTATGCAGGATTCTTCAGAGTAGATGTACCAGTGTGTGTGTATGTATGTATGTATATATTATATATATATATATACACACAGTAAGTAGCTCCTTCCTAGAAAGTAACATTAACAAAACCAATTATTATGGAGGAGATTATTAAGAATGTAGATCTGCTCATATTCAAGTCCTTTCCTTTGTCTAGAAAAGAGCCCAGTTAATGAGTTAACAATAACCGTTAACATTTGGGTGGTTTCTCTCTCTCTGTGTTACTCTGTGTTCTGTTTGGAGTAGCTGTAAATTAGTAAGAGGCAAGGATTTGTTTTACTTAAGATCATCAGCTTGTTCATCCAGCTCTGTAATGACAACTTGCATTGGGGGAAGTGGGGAGAGGAGAGTGTATACGGTGCAGGAGATGGGGGGGAGAAAAGGGAAGAACCAACCCTTTGTTAGACGATGTGTATGTAAATAAATCTTCCAATGATACTCTCACACATGATGTTCAAGCACCAATAATAAAGAACAAAAATAAGTGGTTTCAATTAACTCCGTTTGAGCGTTTGTCTGTTTTAAGTTTGACTGAAAGTAATAATGCATTTGATTAAGCGTTTTATCACATAGTTGAGAAGTCTCAAAGCGCTTCACAGAATATACTTTAAAGTGAATTCACGATCTATTTTGTGGGCAAAATCCAGCAGATATTTGTGGATTGAGTGACTCAATTTATTATTTTTCATTTTATTTGGTGGGGTGGTGCAAGAAGATTATTAACCCTGGAAAGCGATCCACTAATTAACTAACAACCAGAGTCCTACTTGCTGCTAGGTGACCACACGCATGTGGAGTAAGAAAACTTGCCTAATATTTTGAACCCGGGTCTTCTAGCTTGCGAGGTGAGTGCTCTAACCAATACGTTACAGGACTCTACGTAGTTTATTCCCTCCCTTCATTCAAAGCCCCATCTCAAGATCTACCTCTTTGACCACGCCTTCGGACATCTTTTCCCTCGGCTCCCACTGCAGCTCGGTTGCCCAGCAGGTAGTGTCGAAGGCTTTGGGACATCTTCTTGACGTCAAGGAGCTGCGTGAGTGAATTTGTCTTGCGTTGTCCTTGGCCCATTTTCTAATCGAAAAGAGACTTCACGTGGTGTGTGGTAAGGTATTTTTTTACACAAGGTAGACTGCCAATTGTCTTGATTAAATGTGCACTCAAGTCAGTGTGTGTATTTATATATGTTTTCCGAGAACAAGGATAAATGGAGAAATTATTGAGCCGGGCAGATAAATGGAGAAACTCCAGATGTTAGTAGTTATTTTATTCTCAAGTCTAGACATTTCATTCGTTCCTCATCCACTACAAATCATTTAAGATTAAGAGGCGGGGGATCCATAAACTGTTTCTTTGATGGCTATTTCTCCCTCTCTTAATCTGTCAGTAAGTTTGTTTTCTCACCCCCCCCACCAGGTTCTGAAGCCTGACAAGACTTGAGCCTTGCTCACGCTATGAATTCCTGAAGGGATCTGGAGATTAAGCTTTCCCGAAGGCAGGAAGTATCAACAGTATCTGCCCTCATTAAAAACTCATCCCCCATCTGACAATTAGATGTTTATTGTTCAGATACAGTTTGCTGGCTTGTTGCAGACTAATCAACCCGGTCGAACTGACAACTGGTAGGAAGATATCCTGTGCAGCTGTGCAAGGGAGGTGGCCAAAGATAATTATGAGGATATCTCAATTGACTTGAACAGAGAGCGCAGCAGGGTGAGGAGGGAACTGAATGAGGTGGAATAGAGTGAGAATTCTGTTAAGGAATTTGGTGAGAGTGGAAATTCAGTGCAGAGGGGGAAAGAGGTGCAGAATTATAAAATATATGATATTTATATTAAAATATAAAACATGTCTGGGAATATGGCAGGGCAGCTGAGATAAATTGCATGCACAATGTGTGCCATGTGGGGACTCCAGGATGCTTTGTGTGCCGTGGACAGACACTTGTCTAGGAAGTGCCTCCGGCTCCTTGAGCTTGAGCTCAGGGTTTCTGAGCTTGAGGAGAGGCTGGTGTCACTACATCCAGGAAGCTGAAGAGTTTATGGATTGAACGTTTCAGGAGGTGGTCACCCCACAGCCACAGAGGGTTCAGGAGGAGAGAGTGAGTGACCAGTCGGTACGTAGGAAGAGGGTATGGGCAGTGCAGAAATCCCCTTAGAGTGTGACACAAACCAGTTCTCTGTACTGAATACCGGTCAGGGTGATGACACCTCTTGAGAAGGGCATCAAAAGCAAATGTATGCACAGAGGGACACGGGGAAGAGTCAATGCAATTGTCATTAGGGACACAATGGTGAAAGGAGTAGACATACGTTTCTGCCACCAAAGACGTGACTCGCATAGTATGTTTGTTGCTTCTCTGGTGCCAGGGTTGAAGGCGTCATGGAATGGGTGTAAAATATTCTACAGGGGGAAGGGGAACATCCAGAAGTCGTGGTCCATGTTGGGATCTATGACGTAGGGGGGAGAAAAGGACCTGAGATCCTACAGGCAGAGCATCAGAAGCTAG